AGGCAAGGGGAGAAGAACCCAGCTAAGGCTTTCATGACCTCCAGGATCCGGGAGAGATCCTCAGCAAATTCTGTCCTTCCATTCTTGTTGGTTAGGAGAGGAGCAGCCCATACGTGCTGGAGTGGAGCTGTCTCTCTGTAGTCCTAGGAGATGCTAGCAGGTATGAAACAGCCCAGACAGGCCCCCATGTGCCTGGATCTATCTGCTGGCAGAGCCCGGCCTTGGAGTTAAAACTTTTAGATTATGCTCATCCAGTAACTCCACCCTACATATCCCTGGACCCTCTGGGTTGCCTGTCCCAGAAAGAACCTTGGAGCCCCATGGCTAAGCCCGCTTTGGGAGCCTGCCACTTAGGTGAGGGGCTGAGGTAGCTTCCAGGAGAGCAAGAGATATCAGTATGCAGTTGGGCTTTGATTGCAGCTTGGAAAAGGAAAAGCCATTCAAAAGGAGACAGACAAATAGCACAACACTGCACAAGTCCCTGGGACAGCAGAACAAAACCGCCCAGGGTAGGGTTTTAGGTGCACACTGCCTAAGCAAGCCATGTGTACCCAACCTGTAAAACACATGGTCTATTACTGTTATAGGGCTTTTCTTCCTACCTGCTCTAACCTGCTTCTCAGATTCACTTGTTACAGCTTCCCTTAAAATTAGCTCATCAGTGTCTGGGCCAGGCCTAATGATGTGCCTGTACAAGGGTTAGCACATTGAGTTGCTTTTTCTTGGGAAATTTGGGAACCAAATAGTGTGTGGGAGGCTCCAGCATGCGGTTCGGACCAGCAGGTCTCTGCTTTTGCCTTGGGTAGATGCTACTCTACTGTTGTCCAGAGCTAGGGTAGTAGGCAGGCTAAATTATCCCCAGCTGGTACTTAGTGATCCTGATTGTCAGTGGCCTAACCCCCATCTAGCCCCAATTGCCTGCATGAGCTTGGTTGTCTACTAATAAGTAGCAGTTTTTTCAATGCCCAGCAAGCTACTCAATAGGACTGGTGTCTTTCTGGTGGGTTTTGTATGAATGACTTCTTGGTTTTAGTGCCACCCTTTGATTCCCAGCTTCAAGTACCTGGGGCCTCCTTGTTTGTTCCTAGTGTGCTATGCTGTTTGTTTGTTCCTGGTTTCCTGCCCCCTGGGTCATGCCTGTTCAATTCTTGGTTTTGTCCTGGTCTCTGCCTCCTTGTTCCAGATTCCAGCTTTATCCCCTGTGATCCTGACTTCAGTCCAGACACCTTTCCTTTGGCAACTGGTCCCTGGCTTGTGGTTTAGCATGGCACTTGTTGATGTCCTGGTCCTGTACAGCTATTCTCTCCTCTAGAACCCCTGGCTAGTGGGTGACTCCAGTCTAGATCCTTCCCTCCCACTCCTTTTCAGTTCATGGGTTTGCCCAAGGTAACCACTTATGCCCTGGCCTCTTACAGACCTTGGCCTCCTGACCTACCTACTCCTGATCCCTTTTACTCTAACTGGGTCTTTCTTCCCTAACCCGAACTGTTCTTGATCCCCCTGTGCTGTGACCTTCTAGGGTCAAACCCTAATCATCTGCGTCCCAGTAAAACCCTTGACAACTAGGCTCATTCCAAGTGGCTGCTGGTTGCTGGTATGAAGGCACTTGGAACAAATTTTTCAGAAGTATTGAGATGTCTAAAGATGCAGATAACTCTGTGGGCATGTCAGTCTGGGGCTCAGAGGACCACTGGACCACTTCTTTGTGCTCTCAACTTCCAGAAGGTGGACAAGGACACAGGGAAGTGATAAAGGCCTGTCCCCTTGACTTTTTTTTTTTTTTCTGCCTCTCATACAATATCAGTGAATATGCAGAGCCCTATTGATTAATGAATGCACTGGACAGTTGTTCATAATAAGCAATGGAGATCTGGAAATCACTTAGGACTGGAGAAAACAATTGTGGCCCCAGTCTTGTTAAAAGGAAAGAAGAGCAGTCCTGGCTCATGGTACCTGCTATGCCTAATATCTGTCTCCAGAGAAATGCTATGCTAGGAGAAATGCTGATGGAGTACCTGGAGCTCTTCTAGGTGTTACCCTCTTGCGTGGCAGGTATACCATTGTAAATATAAACACTGCATGCTGGCAGATGGGCCGCCACAAAGACCCAGATGTCAGTCAGCACTTAACCTGGAAAGAAATGTTCAGAAATGAAAAAAGCAGGAGGTGACTGAGTTTGAGGGCTATGACCACCAGCCACCTCTACGAGCTTTGCTTGAGATTTGGTCCAAGGGTTTCTTGTCTTAGTTCTACTTATTTCAACCCCTCAGTGTTACCCTAGGGCTACATTCCTCTACTTCCTTAGTGTCTGTCTCTTTCACATATATAGGAGTAATTATGCACTCTAGTTGGTGTGAAAAAATCCCCTTCTACCCTTCTCTGTCTTTGGAGGTTGTCTGTTTCTCTTCTGTCTCTCAAGTGTCTATCAACCTGTTTTCCCCAGGGTACTGCATAGGTGAGGAAACTCAGGTAACAGGGGGTGAATCTAGCCGCTTTTACTGTCTTGAACCTGACCTCACAACATGGGGGCAGGGGCTTAGGCCCAGGTCACTCCAGTAGATAACTGTAATGTCTTTCAAATTGATTGGCCAGGATCAAATGCCACCTGTCCCTGACTGGTCCCAGGTGGTGAGGTCGGTAGGGCTATTTAAGAGGGTCCCTTGAGGAAGAAGGTGGTGGCAGACATTTTAAAACACATTTACACAGAAGCTTGGACCTCCACAGCTTGCTCTGGATGTGTAAGTGGGTAACTTACCAGAAATTTAACTAGGATCTTAGTGGACTTGTAATCTAGTCATGAATCAAAAGGCTGACAAGCCACTCAGCTTTGCTCAAGGTTGATTTTCTTTCTATATCCTGCTATTGGTATTCCTTCCCCACCCTATTCCTCTTTGGTCAATAAATCTATCTATTTTAGCAAGCCTTACTGTGTGTGCTTAAGAGGGAAGGGACCTGCTAAGGTGTTCCCACCTTTTTACTTTCCTACCGCACAGGAGGCTACTGCTGAATGCTTCTGGCTAACAGAAGCATCCCAGAATCCCATGTTCTATAGGGCCTGTGTATCCTGGGAGGCACAGGGCCCAGACAAAGACCTGAGTCTGGGTGGTGGTAGCGGTACCCCAGGCTTGTGGGTATACTCCAGGAAGGGGGTTGGCTAGACATGAGGTGCCCCAGAGGAGCCATTTGGAGCTTGGGTTTCTGGCCGGGCGCAGTGAGACAGGCAGCTCGCCCCTTACTACCTCACCACAGTTGCTGTTAAACCAAGCTAGACAGATCCAGCTATTTAAAATCTGCTCTTGTTCATTACTGTTGTTCCTTGCTGAACTATACCAGGTCAGTGATATTTTTCAGAGTAGAGGGGCTCAACTGTGGTTGTGGTACTTCAGCTGCAGCATCCAATTCTCCTAACCTGGATATAAGCCTGGGCATTTTGCTTGGTGTCTGATACTCTGATAGTGGAAATTTACGGCTGTGCATCATAACTGTTCACACTCCCCAACTCGCACTCCCTGACCAGAGAAGCAGACAGCCCAATCTGAAAACTGCTTGAGATGCTCATAGACCAGTGTGTGCCCAGCCAAAACAAAAAGTGCTGTGCAAAGCAATTTGAAACATGAGTGAACTGGATGGCTACAACTCTGTAGCCACAACTTCCACCGTAGCTAACATCCCACCATGCTCCCCTGCACGAAGCTTCTGCAGATTCTCTCACAGCCATGATCCAAGACCCCAGCCGGGAGAGGGAAACAGAGAAGCATAAAAGCTTCATCCAGGCCCCACAGAAGAGATTCTCATTCACGCTGCCTGAGGTGAGGGCGAGACTAGAGACACTCCAGCTGCATCTACAGGAGACGGTGACTACTGTGCGGTAGTGTTGTGTGGCAGGAAACGTAATGCAGTGCTACTGTGCAGTAGTTTTGGGTTACTGCACAGCCAGTGTCATGAAAAAAACTGTTTGGCGATGCTACTGCAGAATAACTCAGGTTACTGCACGGTCATTTAGTACTTGTTTATACAAGTACTAAATGACGGAGTAGTCAGTATCTCATGTAGATGCGACCTCCCTGTTCCAATGCACTTGATAACAAGGGAGCACTTGGGGGGATGTTTCCTCAAACTATCAGGAGCCATAACATGTGTCATCAACCAGGGAGGAAGAAAAAGCGACACACAATCCTGAGAAAGAGAAGGGAGGAATTGCATTGTGTTATGGAGCAACCTTCCAGCATGTCAGGAGCAAGCAGTACTGACAGCTAAGTACAGCATGTTCTGATTTGGCTGTGTTTGCATTTCATGGGGCCACCTTTAGTTATAATAACACTTTGGCAGTACTTCTGGAGCTTGTAGTGTCAGTGAAGACTTACTGAACTCCACTGTATCAGGAGTGCATAGGTGGGCACAGACAGAGAGGTCATCTGTCTGCTCTAGAGTATGATACCTCTGCATACAGGCTCAAAAATTGCAGTGATCTATTTTTTGCTATGTTACGCTGCACGCTCCTGTCTAATTTGATTTTACAAGGATCTCCCTCTTGCGTTCCTTTTCAATTCCACCCTTTGAATTTACGGCTTGGAGTGATTTCAGGTGGACGCCTAGCCTTTGCACATTGCAGCAGGCAATGGTTTCAGTTCGGTTGGTTGGTTAACACTGTGAAATGGTTGCCATAGACTGCACACAGTGTGTAGGAGTCTTAGCTTGCCAGAGGGGAAGATGAACAGCATCTGAACCTTCCCTCTGATGAGATTGGAGCCGTCAGTCTGGCTGCTTTATTGAGAGAAGCAGCTGAAGGCAGAGCTGTGCTGACTCCTCCTGTAGGAAGCAACCGTTCATGCAAGAGCTGATCTGGGAATGCATCTTACTGACAGCAGCGTTAACTCCCACTCCCATGCAGGACATTTCTGGCAAGCTTAAGGATTCTGTATTGTGAGCAGTCTGTGCAGGCTCCCAGGATGGGCTGCAGGGCTTTGAAAGCTGGTTCTGCTGAGGTCTCAGTGGTATTTAGGCCAGCTGTCAAAATACAGAGCTGCTCTAGCCCTAGGGTTAGGAAGCGATTAAAGATTGTGATGGAAGGGAAGGAGGGGTCTTTGGTTCCGAGTCCTGCCAGGGTTCTAAGTGCCCAATATCAATTTTGGATCAACAGGGATAGGTGTTGATTAGGAGCGTGCATTCCTTATTTGACAGCTTGGTATTGCAGTACCCTAACCTCTAATCAATAGGCAGCAAACACACCATTCCAGCACAATTTCCATGGAAACCAACAGAGTCTTTTTCTATTGGAGGGCTTGCAGCGTTACGATCCTCCTAGGTGTAAGTCCTGTGTTAATATTGATGACTTTGTGTTATTTGGGCTGGTGATTTTGGTGATTCCACGGCTGGCGATGGAGCTTGGACTGGAAAAATCTGGCAGGCAACACGGACAGATTCCTTGGAGCAGTAAGGGCTGACAACTTCCCCAACCCCTCCACCTACGTCATTGCTTCAGCGTGTGCGAGTATGAGGCAAGCACCAGATCGGACAAGGCCTCCATAGCACAGAGCTGCAGATGAGCATCAGACCCTGAACAAATAAATAGACCTGCTGGATGCTGTTTGTTCTGGACTCGAGAAGGGAGATCCTGCTGAGCGATGACAGAGCCTGTGCATTGAGGAGCTGCAGCTGAGAAGAGCGCTGAGCCTGATATTCTGCAGCTCATTTTGCAGCCTTTGTATGATGGAGAGGGGAGGGGGGGCTTGCACTGTGGATCTTCTGCTTGCCAAACCTTTGACAGATCAAAATGAGGATGATACAAAACAAGCTTTTCTCAGCAGAGAGATGCTTCCCTTTCCTCTGATCCTAGTAGTGAAGAAATACAGTGCAGTGTATTCCTGGGACTCTCTCTTGTTTGCTGGCTGTGATGCCTTCTGGGTTTTTATCCTACCCCCTGGAGCTGTGTGATTGCAGTAAAGTCATTGCTCTACCTAGGGTAGGATCTGCGCTGGAGAGAAGCATTTTCCCCAACAGAAAGCCATGGAGAAGCAGGAAGAAATGAAGTCACATGCTGCTTTAGTACAGGTGTCGGCATGGCAGAGCTGTCTGTCAGGGCATGGTAGCCTAGTACCTGGGGCTCCTGCTGTTCAGGACACAGCCTTGGTGACAGATCTGCAGGAAGATGGAGTCCCTTTGGGAGATGCTGGCAGCAGGGTAGCTCTTCATCTGACACCTGAGATGCCAGAGGCTGGGCTGGAGGAGGTCGGACACCAGTCAGTCCTGGTCATATCCCAAGAAGGCTGTCTCTGGACCCTAGGGCAACAAAATCAGCCAGTTCAGTCTCTGGAGAGCACTAACCCTCAGTGTGTGATGGAGGGACTTGGGCAAAACCCAGCGGACGGATCCCCTAAGGTAAGGTCACTGCTGTTATGCAGTTTGCTTCCAAGCGAGGAATTGCTGTGTGCGTGTCCATCAGCTGGAGGGATGCACACTGGTGATTCGGCTGGGGCAGTTGTGCAATGGGAGGTGTTGACCTTGGTATGGAGACAGACATGAGAAGTAGCTGCGTCTCTTCGTGGCTGAATCCTGGCTCATGCTCTATTAAGCCTTCCCTGTGGGGGTTGAGGCCAGTCCAAAGGAATAACTGTCTGTGCTGCTCCTTGGACTGGAAGCAAAGGCACTTGCCTAGTTTGCTGCCTTTTGGCAGGGTTCTCCCATAGGCTATTCTTTGGATGGTGCTGGAGGGTGGTTGTGGATTCATGTGAGGGCTGTCTGAGGCTTGCTGCTTGGGTAGCTACTGCTGGTGGGAGCAGGCTGCTCCTTGGAAGGTGCAGCTGCTCTGCAGTGCAAGAGAGAAAGTAGAGCCTTTTGTCATTGGCTTCTCTTGTCATGGAGAGAGCTCTTGGTTTTCGGACTTGAGGATGGGTTGGGATTAATTGGCATCTTTTTCTGTGACGTTCCTTGTCTGCCTGGGTTAATGCTGTGCCAGTTTGCTAGTCCCCATGCCTGCACTGCGGCTTCAACGCCCCATAGCAGGCAATCACTGGGAGCCTCCTCCCAGCACAGTGCCTGACTCTACGCAGATCTCCTGGAAGAACAGGGTGAAAGCTCCCTGAACACCCACACGCGGGGTTTTAGGCCACTGCAGCCTGTGAGCACCCTCCTTCCCAGGAGGTGATCCACTCCCTTCCACTGTTCACTTAGAAAACTTACAGCTCCTGTCACTTCCCACAGGACAGCACATGGGACACTGGGCTGGCTCAGCCAAGCTTCCTGAGGATGGGGAAAATAGGGTCTGAGCCTGTTCTTGATTTTTGGAGATGGAGAGAGGAGGCCTGAAAATGTAAAACGAAAGTAAAATCCAACATCTATTCTGGTTGTCTGCCCTGTATTCCTGCACGACTGTCAGCAGATTAGAGAAACTGCAAGTGACAGAGATTAAGTCAGAGGGAAATGATTTTATATCAGACACTTTTTTTTTGGTTTTGAGCCTCTTTTTAACACAGAGGTTTGGAGAAAAAGCTCTCTGTTAAGTATTTAGTCCACTGATTCACACTGAGAAATCTCTCAGTCCACAGCTCCAGGTCACCCAAGGCCTCCAGCACAAATGTGGGTGGCACAAATGGGGGACATTCCTGGGGTTTGTTAAAGTTAAAAAACAGAGAGACCTCCTTCCTTTCCCAGGTCTTTCTATCCAGAGAAGAAGACGCTCCCCCACATTTCATTTTAATCCTCTTCAGGAGAAACTGGAGGGCATGCAGGCAATCCTGAGGGAAAGAGCTGCACCCTCAGAAGGGGGAACAGAGAAAATTAGACACTGGAAAGTAGGTGCTGTGGTGTTTGCAAGAATCTAGTGCCCTCTGTGCTGTTGTCCCTCATTAGCCATTTGTCCTACACAGAGCTGACAACAGCTCCAGACAATAATTGCCCCGTTCTCCCTGGTAGGGTAGTGGAAGCCGTGAGGGATGCTGAGAGTGCCAGCTGTGTAGGAGGTGGAGAGGCGCTCACTGGTTCTGATGTAACTGTATGTAACCCACTGCTTGACATAGGTTGTGACTGCTGCAGCTCCAAGCAGGGGGACCTTGTCCTTCAGCTCAGGTTGGCTGCAGAGGAGATGGAGAGACCTTGTCCTTCAGCTCTACTTTGCTGCAGAGGAGATGGGCCAAAATCCAGTCCTCATGGGCGTGATCAGGGCATTTATGCTGCTCTTAGTCCCCTGAGCCTTGTCTCTCTATACCCAGTTCGTTTCAGGGTCTCTCTGAGAATCGGCCTGTCTCCTCCTGCTCCCCTGTGTACTTCCCCTCTTTCAGTGGGCTGCCCTTCCCAGCCTCTGTGTCAGGAGCAGAGGGTGGATGTGGTTAACTTTCCTACTGCTGTAGAGTGAGTCAAATTTCCAGCACTGTTAACTCATCCCCCAACCCTGGGAAAAAGTAAAATGCTTCATGCTGGTGTCAGACAGCTTTGCTGGAGCAAACGCAAGGCATGTGAAGCTTATCAAAGGAGCCCTGAACTGTTCCGGATGGTGGCCATGACATGATGTCCCTGGCACATGTCCCGTGATATGGTGCTTGCTGGATTTTTGTGTGAAACGTGTTAGTCAATCCAGTTCCTAGCAGACAGGTGCTTGTGTCACAGAGGGGACCCAGCATGGACAGGCAGAGACATTGAGCATCCCTTTCCACATAGATGGTTATTTCTGGTGAGGGCTGGGCAACTTGGTGAGGGGAGTTGGGGGGTGGAGGGGAAGTAGTGCTGAAGCTGGTGGTGCTGCAATGTGGGTTGTACTTGTTCTGCAGAGGTTTGGCCTCAGGCTGTTAACAGGCTTGATCACTAGCAAGTGGATTACACAAAAATAGCACATGCCTTAGCAGGGCAGTTCCCATCAGCAAGCTCCTTTGCAGTGCCCCAGCACTGGGGGAGGACAGAGGGCCCAGTGTGGTCCTGTACAGAGTGCATGACTATGGCTATTCCTGTTACAGGCACAATTTAAGATTAGTGAATAGCCTTGGGGCTGGAGGTGTGTGCTTGCCTGGAGTATGTGCCTATCCAGTCTTAATGTAGGCAAAGAACCCAGCGCTGTCAGTTCTGTAGTATTAGTGACCCCCAAACTGACTAGCCCCTCTCATTTTTGAGGATCTGATCATACCAAGGCTATGCTTAGAAATCTGGAAAGCGATGGGAAGTAGTCAATTTTACAGCTCCTTAAAAAGGAGAGGAGAACATGGCCAAGGGACTAGCTCCCATCATTTTCAAAGCTTCTGATAGCAGCAGCCCTTTGAAAGCTGCTTCCTCTTCTCCATTTCTGGGGCCATTTAGTGTGCAGTAACTGGAGGTCAGTTATATTATGAAGCAGAGTGGGGCTGAAAGACACTATGTTGTGAAGCATTATGGAGATAACCACTGTTTATCACAAAGTAAGCCATAGGCAAAACATTGGAACCAGTGTTGTGTTATGCAGTTAGGTAGATAATGCACTTATCAAGTAGAAGTGGAGTGTAATTCATGTTAAAGTAGAATGTGACTCCTGGCTCATGAGAGAGGCATTATGTTGAGAGACAGAGAGTGGGAGTCATTTGAATGTCCCCATTCAAGGGCATCTAGGAGCAGGCAAAGGGAATCCTGAGATGTGTCCTTTTCCACAGTGTCTGTGCTCGCAGCAAAACAAGGACCTGGACTGGGGCAGAGAGAGGCTTCTGTAAAGTCTTGGTGCAGAGCAGAGCTCAGCTCAATAGCCCCAATTGCAAGTCTTCAACAACCATAAGGCTTTTAAAAATATCATATTTGGGGCTCTGCTACTTTGTGCCTTCTGGATCCTAAGCCTGCAAAGATCACACTGGGTGACACTTTCCAGCTTCTCATGCCTCTAGGAGCTGGGGTGTTAGGAAAGCACCAAGTACAGAGCTCTATAGCCTTCACCTCTGATTTTCTGGATGGACCTCTAGGTGTTAGCAATACCCTGGAATTCTTGACCTGGTTTAGGAGTGGGTATCTGAGGCTGTGAGTTTCTCCCTACTCCATGCTGGGTCCAGTGCATGGCTTCCAAAGAAAGGGGACAGTGGCGGAGGGTTGTCAATGAGCTCTCCCTTGTGGAAGTAGCTTCACTGCATGGAGTGGGCAGTTTAAAGGCTCACTGCCCTGCCATAGCAGCATTGAAGTAGCTCTCTTCCACCACAGGCTTCTTGCCATCATTAGGGGTCACTGCCTAGCTTGATGGAAATCTGTCTACAGAACTGGCCTCTGGGTCTTGGGGAGAACACAGCCACATACTAGAGGGGACTAAAAAGGGAAAGAAAAAGATAGAAGTTGATGGTAAAAAATATGTAGGGCCTGTAGTTCTGAAGATGGCAATTAACTTCAGGTGTCTAACTTAAGACCTCAGGTGACCCAAATGCCTGGCATCAGTGACATTATTCTTGGTTTCTCTATAGGAGGGCAATGAAATATATGGGAACATCAGCGGCTTTGTGGTGATCCTTAGGACTGAGGAGGCCAGAGGTGAAATTTTGGCCCCATTGTAATCCACAACAAAATGCCCATTGTCACTTATTGAGCCTGTTTTCTTGGCCTGAGGGTCTGGGCCCCAATTCCATGGCTAGAAGCCAGGGGAAGCTGAGGATTCCCCACATCTCATCTAAAATGGCTTGTTGAGATCCATGGATTTGACAGCTGGGAGGGAGCATCATGTCTAGCTTCTTTACAACAGCTGCCACTTGTGGAATCCCTCAAAGAATTGTCTTGCGGATCCTCCTCGATGTGCCCAGGCTGGAGCACCGCCTTCCAGGTGGGCAGATGGTGATGAAGGTAATGCTGAAGTGGGGTTGATTAAAGGAAAGCGTTCAAGTTGAAATGCAGGCAGCTTAAAATGGCAAGTAAGCCTGGTTCCCTGTGGCATATCTGCCCAAGATCCCCAGCTTCTTTTATCTCGCAGCCCCTCCGACAAGAAAAAATATGATGGTGTAATCCTATGTGTATAGTGCAGATCCCCTTTGCACTATAGGAGATGAGTGGCTGCAGCCACTGCCAGCAGGGCCAGAGTTCAAGTGGCAAAGAGCCAGCAAACCAGAGTGTGACTATGTAGTCCAGTGGTTAGAGCACATACGTGGCAGAGGGAGTCCTGGGTTTTAGTTCTGATGCCAGGTCTGTCTATACATTTTACATTAGATGGATATTGGTTAAAGAACCAGAAGTGACTCTGGCAGTTGTAGGGGCTAGCATGCATCACTTCCCACTCCCAGGGCAGTACCCTCACTGGGCTATAGAGGAAGGTTCTGTCTTGCTACTTCTCCTTTTGGCCCCGTGAATCTTGCATTTTTTACTTCCCGGTGGACTAGCCACAACAAAAAGAGCAGGGTGCCCTTAGCCTGATGACTAGGGCACTCTCCTAAGAGATGCTGGTTTGAGTCCCCTAAGGT